TAGGGGGGACAACTTTTAAGCTGGGGGGGTCAGTTTGAAGAGGGTTGAAATTATAAGACATAGTATTAGCATTCTATGTAAAAGTTGATAAACCATTTGTAATTGAAACAACTTTTAGTTTCCTTTCGATCTAAAAAAAAGCAAAGATCCGACGCAAAAAAATCCGCGCTGCTGATTATCTTGTACCTTGGACATCGGAATTTACAATTATTTTGTGTTATTTGCTTTGACCTCTGGAGAACAGACGCCAGTAATAACAAAATTTCATTATTGCCACTGCCGCGGCGAAATCCCGAGGAGGCATCCTAGAAGCTCCCGCGTATATACAGAAAAGTACTTACACTTAAAATATGCAGTTCGTATACCAGAAAAGATATCGATTTGCTTGAACAGTGGCCGCGCGGAATTGTTGAGTAATGATGACGTTTTAGTTCTAAACAATGCTAAACTGCCGCAAGTATGAAGGGCACTTTCCGTTTAGTCAAAATTTGCGGAAATTTCGGTTCGGCAGTAAATGGAAAACGTTTCGTCGGTTCGTCCACGGGAAAATCCCTGGAAAAGGTGGAAAATCTAAAAAGGTAGGCCCTTTTCCTGGTTGGAACGTTCTGAACGGAATTTCGGCTTTCATTTACACGTTTCTCGTACTTTATACCCGTTACAATTGTGACCAACTCGGCAGCCATCTTGGTGTTCCGAAAAAAAATCAGGGCATGAAATCTTGCGTTTCCTGTTTTCTTAATAGCCCACCCATTGTATATAACGTTTGAAAATCTTTAATATGAATCGTCACATTTCAATGAGCAGCGAAAAGACGAAGAATACAATTGGCCGACAACATACAGAGCGCGGGCAGCTTTAGTGTCAACTATTACTATTTAGCAATGCACTGGTCCAGGAGTGAAGATGTAAAATATACTTTAATAGGAACGAATTTGACAGTGCGAGGGCGCAACGACAACAACAACAACTACATAAGCTTTATTTGCATGACTATAATTATGTAGTTACAGTATTGCAAAAGCTTTAACATAAAAAACAAACAAACAAGTCATAACAATGATAATGCAATGCAATGATTACTATAGTCAATCAAGTGTCATCAGCATGATTTGATAACAGCGCTGGTGGGAAGGAAGTTCGCCTTGGATCAGGCTCCGCTTTGGGGGAAAAAGGAGAAAAAATCGACGTGGGCAAAAAAAAATTCGGCGAGCGAAGCGAGCCGGGGGGTAGTCTGGGGAGGGGAATAGTGGCGAAGCCTGGAGACATGCCTCTGATGCCGCCGATCCGCCCTCCAGCAATTAACTTGTCATTCACCATTTTGACATAGACCATAATACACCTTGTTTACCCCCCCAAATTTTTCACACCCATTGGGTATTACAGTCGTCCCAACCTAAAGAAAAATTAAAAGACAATAATTATGCAAAATGTGGGGTGTGTGTGTGCGTGTCTGTGGGGGGGAGGGGGGGGTAGACAAAGTGCATTATGGTCTATGTGAAAATGGTGAATTGAAGTTTCAACACGTCAAGTTCTTATCACGGATGTCAGCGTGAGCTTATGCCACTTTTGTAAAAAATATTTGATTTTGAGACGAAGTAAGAGTGCAAGCAAAGAGTGGAGTAACCAGCTTTGGCGAAGAGAAATAAAGACGTTTCAAAGAAACGTGCGCCGCGTTCGACCGGTGAAGAACAACCGAATACATTCTCAAGGAGATCCCTCTAGTACGTAGTTGACATAGCTTCTTATAATGTACCAGACGAAATATTGCTTTTGGTAGAGTTCATTACATTCCGCGGAAGAAAATGTGTAAGTTTAGCACCTTAT